GCGCTCAGGGACCACCCCCTGCGCACCCCCTCTGGTGTCGAGAAAGTGCCACGCCTGCTATGCCTGGACGACCGTCGTGCATAGCGGCCGCGACCACCCCTGCGCACCCCCTCTGGTGTCGAGAAAGTGCCACGCCTGCTATGCCTGGACGACCGTCGCGCATAGCGGCCGAGCTCAGGGACCACCCCCTGCGCACCCCCTGTGGTGTCGAGAAAGTGCCACGCCTGCTGTGCCTGGACGACCGTCGTGCATAGCGGCGAGCTCAGGGACCACCCCCTGCGCACCCCCTCTGGTGTCGAGAAAGTGCCACGCCTGCTATGCCTGGACGACCGTCGTGCATAGCGGCCGAGCTCAGGGACCACCCCCTGCGCACCCCCTCTGGTGTCGAGAAAGTGCCACGCCTGCTGTGCCTGGACGACCGTCGTGCATATGCTCAGGGACCACCCCCTGCGCACCCCCTGTCCCAGAGAAAGTGCCACGCCTGCTATGCCTGGACGACCGTCGTGCATAGCGGCCGAGCTCAGGGACCACCCCCTGCGCACCCCCTCTGGTGTCGAGAAAGTGCCACGCCTGCTGTGCCTGGACGACCGTCGTGCATAGCGGCCGCGCTCAGGGACCACCCCCTGCGCACCCCCTGTGGTGTCGAGAAAGTGCCACGCCTGCTGTGCCTGGACGACCGTCGTGCATAGCGGCCGAGCTCAGGGACCACCCCCTGCGCACCCCCTTGGTGTCGAGAAAGTGCCCGCCTGCTATGCCTGGACGACCGTCGTGCATAGCAGCCGAGCTCAGGGACCACCCCCTGCGCACCCCCTATGGTGTCGAGAAAGTGCCACGCCTGCTGTGCCTGGACGACCGTCGTGCATAGCGGCCGAGCTCAGGGACCACCCCCTGCGCACCCCCTGTGGTGTCGAGAAAGTGCCACGCCTGCTGTGCCTGGACGACCGTCGTGCATAGCGGCCGAGCTCAGGGACCACCCCCTGCGCACCCCCTATGGTGTCGAGAAAGTGCCAAGCCTGCTGTGCCTGGACGACCGTCGTGCATAGCGGCCGAGCTCAGGGACCACCCATCTGCGCACCCCCTGTGGTGTCGAGAAAGTGCCACGCCTGCTATGCCTGGACGACCGTCGTGCATAGCGGCCGCGCTCAGGGACCACCCCCTGCGCACCCTCTCTGGTGTCGAGATAGTGCCGACGTGTGTCTCAATGAGGGTAATGTATGATGCGTGTACGGCTGTATGTGGACGTGCATATCATGTGGATGCTAGTATGTGGCGCATACGTCTTGTATGTCCGTGTGCAAGCGAGAAGGAGAAGGGGAGGGGGGAGGTGTGAGACGCGGGTGCGGCGCGGCAGGGAAGAAAACCATAACCCCACGAAACATGTGGGGAATAACAAAAAAAAATCTCCCTTCATTGCCCCGTTATCCTTGAGCGCATTGCAGCCTTCTAAAGGTCTGTCTGCTCGGATGCTCGGGTCCAAAAGTGGGTGTGCGTGAGCCCGGCCAACCCATAGCCAACCCCTAACCAGCCTCAAAACCATCCCCCTGGCCAAGCACCCCAGATCTTTCTGCTGGCGAAGTTGTACCCTTTCGGCGCAATTGCTGTTTGGGCATGTGCGGGACGACTGAAGGGGCACCAGGACACACAAATAAATACACACAAATAAAAATATTCCCCATATTCTCCTATATTTTCTGGGTGTTTGTCTTCCTCTCCACTTCCCATATTTTTCCATATTTTCCTGGGAGTGGACGATTAATTGTGCCTGTGTGCTTTTTCCCCTCCTGAAAGCACTCCGGATCTTTCTGTTGGCGAAGTTGTAACCTTTCGGCGCAATTGCTGTTTGGGCATGCACGGGACAATGGACAGAAGAAGTAACGAACACCGCGGCAGGAGGAGCACGACAAGAAGAAGAAACTCGGTGCATGTTCAGCGGCACTTCCAGCCCGCTCGCCACAAGAACTCTGCCAAGAACGCTGGCTGCGCAAAGTGCGCCAGAAGCGAGCCGGCACGATCGGACCAGACATCCCGCCAACTCGATTTGCACTCAACCTGCTGTCGAACGCGCGCCCCACGGAATGAGCTTCAAGAAAGGCAACTGTCAACAACGCTCGCAAAGCGAAACTCACAAGGACAACGCGATGTGCACCGAGAGCGAGTCGGCACCCTCGCCGTGAGCTCCCTGCTGGCAACGCTGGCACCACGATGTGCATCGAGAGCGAGGAGGCACCCTCGGAGTGAGCTTTCGGCTGGCAACGCTGGCACCGCGATGTGCGTCGAGAGCGAGGAGGCACCCTCGGAGTGAGCTTTATGCTGGCAACGCTGGCACCACGATGTGCGTCGAGAGCGAGGAGGCACCCTCGGTGTGAGCTTCCCGCTGGCAGCGCTGGCAGCGCGATGTGCGCCCAGAACGAGCCGGCACACTCAGAATGAGTCGAGTGGCAGCGGCGGTGGATGTGTCGAACCATCACGCTCGAGAGGCTCGCGGGAGGGCCACACAACTGGCGCGGGTGGGACACCAACTGAGTGCACCTGTAGTTAAGGAGGCGCTAATAAGACATCCTCTCGGCATGCCCAGCCAGAGAATGACGAAAGAACAAGCTCCAGGAGGAGTCAGCGAATGAGTATGACAACGACGAGGACGAGGAGCATCGAGACAGAGATTATACACGATTGCGTCACATAAAATTTGGCGGTGGCGCAGAATTCCCCTGGAACGACGCACCTGGACAATCCCACTGGCCAGGCCCCAAGAATCTAGCCAACCCTCCTAGCCACCCTGGTTAGGGTAACTCTTACCACACGAGATAGCAGCAAGGTGACGACAACAACGGCGAGATGGAGGAGGAGGGAGGTAGAACATGCGAATAAGGAGCAGGAAGGCGAGGATGAGCGAGGAGAGGTAGGATCGCACGTAGCTGCGCACAAAGCGAGTGCCAACTCAAGCACCAAAGTGCACAGAGCAGCCGCCCGAATCAGGTCCAAAGATGGATGCGGGCGAGCCAGAGGGGCTGCCGAGGTCGCGAAGCCAAGCATCCAAAGAGACGTGCAGGCTCTTCCACAGAAATTAATGCCTGCAGGCGTTGAAAAGAAAAGCACGAATGGCGCACAGGGAGGAGGGGCCGAAGCCTTAAAGCATGGTCGATCTTGAAAGTGAGAGGAAGCACACATACACCACGCTCCCCGCAGCTTTAGATCTTTCTCATGAGTATCACGTGCGTGATTGGGTTGTTGACTTTCGAGATACCAAGAGGCGTCTCCGCGACAAGATGGAGTCGGCCTCAGATGGGCGTTGGGGCGCGAGGCTCCTGGCGTGGCACCCCTGGCACCACGTCTATGCCAAGCGGCACAGTGGAAGGCAGTGCAAACGCTGGCAAGACATCTGAGAGCACAAGTGAGCGAGGCACGCGGCCCGGCGTCATGCTGGGGCAGACTCGTCTGCCCTACGGGCCCTCTCTCTCTCTCTCTCTCCCCGGATGTCTCCCCCGCGTACTCGGCCCCTTCCCCCAAAGTCGATACGCACAGTGACCGGGGGAAGGCACGAGGCGAGGGCCGGAGAGGTGCGGGAGGCGAGGGCAGGAGAGGCAGCGGTCGGTCGATCGAGTCATTTTTTGCCTCCACGCCATGCCTCCAAAGCCTCAATGGGAGAACCACCCACTGCTTTGGACGCCCGAAATGGGTACTGAAGAAATGGGTACAATGTCCAACAGCAAATGTTGTCCCAAACCAACAGCGGCCACTGTTGGGCAGGCGGCCCTTTGTCTCAAATGGACACAGGCCGCGGCGGCGTGGACAGCGAATCCTGGTCAAAATGAACAGGATATGCTGTTGGGCATCGTACCCATTCTTTCCGTACCCATTTCGGGCGTGCGGAGGGAGAAGCAGTGGGTCGATCGAGTCAGGGGCCCTGTCGTACTGAAAAATGCAGCCCCGAACGCCTACGATGTGCATCCTGTGCGTGTTCCACCCACCCGTCAGAGATGTCGGGACAGACCAGGAAACGCTGGGGCGAGAGCGGACTGCGACAGGACAGCTTCGAGTGAGGCCCGGCAAGGGAAGGGGGGCGGCATGATGATATCATGGCTAGCGGGAACCAGGCATGCCCGCGCTTCCCCTGCGTCAGGTTCAGCCTGTCAAGGAATAGGTCGCGGATCAGAGACCGAAGATACCGTGGGTTCGTTTCGTGTCGACCCAGGCGTTGGTTCCTGACACCGAGGGGATCGTTCAACCTTGAACGATCGGGCGTCCCCGAAACGTCCAAATCGTTCCATATCGAACGATGCTGGGTCGCCCACGGCGTTCAAAATTGAACGCCGCTGGCGGGGTCGCCGCCGGTTGACACGACACGATCCAGCCGTACACCCCCTGGAGACGGTCGCGTGTTTGAAGCTCTCCGGCACGCTCAGCTGCTCGGGCTGCCTCCGCAGCCGTGACGCGTTCGGGGGCGGAGGGGACCTTCGGGGGCGCTGCGTGAGCGGGTCGCTGCAGGAAATAATGAAAGGAGGAGAGGAAGGATGAGGAAGACGAGGGGAACGGCGAAGAGAAAAGAGAGGAGGGGAGAAGGGAGGCAGAGGAGGGAGAAGGGAGGAGGGGATGAGGGGAGAAAAGGGATGAGGGAGGACAACAGAAGAGGTGGGGGGAATGGGAGCGGGGAGGAGACTGGAAGACGGGACAGGAGGGCCAAGCCACCAACCACAACCTTTGGGGAAGCAGACCCCACTGGCACGCCGCAAGCCTGACTAGGGCAGATCGAAGCTGCCTGGGGCAGACGCGGCCAGACAACGGCGCAGGGGACAGAGTAGGGCAGGCAAACGAAGGAGAGGACGCAATGAATGCAGGAAAGTATGGATCCACCGTCAAGACTGCTGAGCTGGCGACCCTAGCTGACCGCCTGGCCGGCTCGCTCCCGTGCCTGCGCTCACGCGGTTCTACTGTCCAAACGCAGGGCTGCCCCAAGGCTGCGCGCTGCACGACTTTCCTCCTCCTTCTCCTTCTCCTCCGAAGGGCAGGGATCGGGTCGAAGCAGGGATCCTTCTCCTCCATCATCGACAGCTCGGGACAGTTGGCCTCCGAACTCAGGCCAACTTCCCACTTCAAACATCAGGGGAAGGGAGGAGGGGACCACCCATCTGCAGTGGACGGCTCGCACGCTGCAACTCCCACCCCACCGGTACTGATGGAGAACGCCGGATTCCCCATCTACTAGCGCTGGGCCGCGGCACCGTTTTCGATGCCGCGCTGGCAAAACTATCCTGCCCTGCGAGCGCTCGGCGCTCACCGCCCGGCTCGAGGCGCTCAAAGATCTGCGCAACTGGGTCGATCGATTCAGCGGAAAAGTCTCGTTGGTACCCTGCACACGATTTCCCGCATCGAAGCTCCAACGACGCGGTGCCAACGTTTGAAGTGCGACTGGGGAGCCAGCAGGCGAGACAGGCAAGATCAGGCGTACAGGTGTGGCGCGAAGAAAATACGGCAGGTTCGTGTCGTGTCGACCCCGGCGTTGGTTTTTGACACCGCAGGGATCGTTCAACCTTGAACGATCGGCCATTTCCGCAACGTCCAATCGTTCAACATCGACCGATTCTGGGCCGCCGCCGGCGTTCAACCTTGAACGCCCGCGCTGGGGTCGCCGCCGGTCGACACGACGCAAACCTACCGTAAGTCGCATTGCTCCACGTGTGAATTGCCTGCGCAAGATCATCGTATGAAAAGGAAGAAAGTGAACCTGCACGTTCAAGGCTCTGGCCTAGGCTCCGGCCGAGCTGCTAGCTGCGGTGAAACTGTACCCAACAAACCAATGGTCCAAACGGGGCGCCTGCCTTACTGCTCTTCCCAGAGAACAAACCACACGCCTCCTTCACCACCGTCACGTCTCCTTTGGACGCCCGAAAAGGGTACGGAACAAAAATGTACAATGCCCAACAACACATGTTATCCAAAACCGACAGCGGCAGCTGTTGGGCAGGCGGCTTTTTGTCTTCGAAGAACAACGTCCGCGGCGGCGCGGAGAGCGAGTCCTGTTCAAAATGGACAGGAACTGCTGTTGGGCATCGCGCCCATGTTTTCCGTACCCATTTCGATCATCCCGATCTCTTCCCGCCCATCCACCCGCCTGCTATGTTCAACAGAAACACTGGTGCCCCACAGTACCCATTGACATTCTGCTTCGACTAGCCCTGGCCTCGCGGGTCATCGACACACGGGTCCTGGAGGAAGCGGCCCAGGCCTGGGCGCAGGAGGAGGCGCCACTCCGTTGGGCTTCCTGAGTCGCTCCATGGGCCGGCGCGAGGTTCCCTGCGAGCCCAGCATGGTGGCGGGTCCAACAACTGCCCTGGCGGGCCCAGCGGCTGCCAGGGGTGAATTGGCAGTTCTGTCAGCTGGCGGCGATGGCTCATCTCGTCCAGCGGCTGGCGGTGGCGGCTCGGCGAGTCCCCTTGCGCGAGGCGTCAACGGCAACGCTGGCGGGTCCTCGGCCTCCGACTGTGGCTCCTCAACGCGGGCTCTTGGCTGCCAGCCGTCGGCGAGCTCGCAGTACATGGGCATCACCATCAAGACCCCGCAACAAACCACAACCAAAGAGAGGCTCACCGAGACACCCACCACTGGCACACCGTTCGTAACAATGACGACCAACAGCTGGGGCTGACGCTGCAGCGCAATGGATACGCCTTGGCAGATAGTGACGCAACCTACGGCCGAAGCAAGTAGAGCACAATCGAACATCTCCCCGGTCGTGACGACCGAAAGAGCCGAGAGAACTCCCGCAGTGAAGTCCTGTGCTTCCTCGTTGATGATGGAGAGGAGGCGCCCACCCCTCTGGAAGACAGTGTCTGCAACAGCGCCCGCCATTCCTTCGAAACACATTCACCCGCAACAGAAAGCAACCTTCGCACAAACCGATCAGCGACGGGGCGCGCACGCGTCGAGCCCCACGAGGCGGTGCGCGGGCAATCGGCCGAGACGGACCGAGTCACGGGTTGGGCCGACATGCCCATGGAATGCAACGTTGATTGCTTCAACCAGTACACAAACAACATGTGCATACATACATATAGATGTACGTGTATGTGTACGTGTATATATACATATACACACGTATAGAACCGAAAACTTCGAAAGTCCGCGCGGACTTCTAGGATCCGCGCTGGACCCCTGTCCGTGGCGCTCGGATCGCACCAGAGGCGCCGACAGGGGGGTCCTAGCGCAGATCAAAAGAAGTCCACGTGGAGCTCGAGGAGATTGCGTTTGCGGACAGGCTTTCTCATTCGATCGCTTGAGGACCATGGCCACATGTGCAATCGGACGGCTGGCAACAGCATCCCGTTGTACGCGAAGATCGGTACCAGCCAATGAGGCCAGAACTGCGTTTGCCGAGCCGACCCGGAGCAACAACATGCAAATTCGACTCGACGCGAGCAAGCCTTTTTGGGTCGCGTTGGGGGCCTCCCCAGCTGGCTTGGGGCTCTCCTGGGTGGTCTTGGGGCCCTCTCGGGGGGCCCCCGGGGCCGACTTCGGGCGATAGTGTGGGCCTCTTGGGCCGTCGCAGATTGGAAGCACGACGCAGCGAGAACACAAATATACAATTCAACAGCCGAGAGGGGATCCATGATTTCCGGGCTCTCGGGACCCTGCCCTGAGTCCTCTTGAAGCCCTCTCGGAAGCCTCTTGGGCGGTCTTGGAAGCAATTTCAAGGCCTGAAAGGGGCATATATCCCACAAGGCGCTCCGAAAATCGCTCCGCGGTCCCCCCCTAGAGGCCGCCTTGAAGCCTTTTGAACCGCCATGGAGGTCTCCTGGGCTGACCTCGGATCCTCTTGGGGCTCTAAACAGAGAGTGGAAGGATGGCGGGGCCACAACACGTGCGAGGGATGTGCCGAGATGGGCGGGGCGACATGCGAAACTTCCAGTGGGGCCTTCGGAGGAACTCCCAGTATGGCCACGGAGCGTGCGAGGGGTGTGCCCAACACAGGAGGGGCGAGGGCAGCGCGGGGAAACAAGACGTGGGACGCCAGGCGGGCCTTGCCAGTGGGGTCTTCGGTGGAACTCCCTCCAAGGCCACGAAGTGTGAGGGTGTGCCACAACGGGCGGGGCGAGGTCGTGCGACTCCTGCCACCTGGGCCTCAGAGAGAACCACCTCGGTGACCACGGACCGTTCGAGAGGTGTTTGCCGAACTTTGCGGGGCGACGCCATGGCGAACTTCGCCTCCGGGGCAGTCTGAGAAACGCCTGCCGGGGCCCCGAAGCGCGTCAAGGGGGGGGGCGAAATAAGCGGGGCGAAGACATGCTTGCCACTGGTGCCGTCGGTGGAGCTCCCACTGGCCAACGAGACGTGCGCCGAAATGGGCGGCACCATGCGAACTTGGCCGCCAGTACCTGCGGTGGAACTCCCTATGGGCCAGCACAACGTGTGAGAGGTGTGCCGTAATGGGCGGGGCGACGCCATGCGAACTTTGCCACTGGGGACTTCGGTGGAGCCAACTCTGGGGAAACGACGCGTGTAAGGGGTGTGCCGAATGGGCGGGGGCACGCCGTGCCAACTTTGCCACTGGGGACTTCGGTGGAGCTCCCTATGGGACCAGGAAGCATGTGAGGGGAGTGTGGTGGAGTCGAGGGAGGAGAAGGACGGGAAGAGGAGGAGGAAGAGGAGGAGAGGAAGGAGGTGCGGATAGGTGTGACGGCGCGCTGCGAATTCAGACGAGCACCCAACAACACAGGAGGATAGATGGGAACACACACTTCCCGCCCCATGGCGAGACGCCCAGGGGCCTGCGACACGAGGGCGCCAGCGTTTTCGTGGTCGCCGCCGTCGACACAGCCTGCGGCGCCATCGTCGGCGTCGACTTCGGCGGCGCCGCCACCTTCGCCATCCGCGTCGCCGCCCCCGTCGCCGACGACGACGTCGTCGACATCGTCGCGGACGCCGTCGCCATCGTCGTCGTCCTCGCGGCCGCCCCCGTCGCCGACGACGGCGTCGTCGTCGTCGCCGACGCCGTCGACGTCGTCGTCGTCGGGGGGCGGCCGCCTCAAGAGGTCGTCGGCCTCGGCCTGGCAGCAGCTGTGCCCGGACTCGAGCAGCACGCTGTCGGCCTGGCCACCCAGACGGATAACAAACCGGCGGGGCGGGGATCGGGTGTTGCTTCATTCGGCGGCGAGCGAGGGAGGGAAAGGAGAACGAGAATGCCTTCTCAGAAGGCGGCGGGACTTCTCGGAAGCCCTCGCGCCTTCTGACTTTTGCTTTTCTTCGGGGCAGGCTTGGACAACTCCTGAGAGGGCCGGGAGACTTCCGAACCTGCTGAAGAGGCCTGTTCCTGTTCCTGACTGTTGTTTCGTTCGGGGGAGGCTTGGACAACTCCTGCGAGGGCCGGGAGACCTCCGAACCTGCTGAGAAGGCCTTGTCCTTCTCATTTCCCCCCCTCGCTCGCCGCCGATTCATGTTGTCATGTGGGTGAGCTGTGGGGCGGACATGTGTGCGCCTGTCTGGGAGAGGCAGGGCGGGGATCGGGTGTGCCTTCATGGGGGGCGAAAGAGCCCGGGAACGAGCCGCGCACCCGCCTGGAAGAAGGCGGGGCGGGGATCCTGCCCGGGAAGAGGCGGGGCGGGGATGGGGCGCTGCTGCACGGGGGGCGAGGCTCGCCATCGCTCGGACGTCCATTCCTCGTGTATTTTTCGATTTCGTGTGTTTTTTTCGCCAAATGATCAAGGATGGTCCTCGATGGCCGTCGCCGAGAAAAAATGCACCCGTCCGAGCGATGCCAAGGAGAAGACGGGGGGAAGGAGCCGTGCACCCGTTGTGCCCCCTTGTTGGGCCCAGTCGACTCCCAGTCGGCCCCCGGACTCAGGCGCAGTCTTTTGCCGAATCCAGACCTGATGCCCTCGTAATTGGGCGTGGGGGTCTTCATCGGGTGATGCCAGAAGTGGTCGCGGTCCGCGTTTCTGGAAAAAAGGGGCCCATCCGGTGGCCTGCAATACACCCCCTCATGGGACCCAAGATGCCCCCAGCGGCCTCAGAATGGCGGTTGCCTGGGACATCTTTGGGCCTACTACGCATCTGGCAACCCCAGGCCCTGATCGTTGCCACGAACCCACGCCTCCCACACGCGGTCGAGTAAATGGGGCGAGAGGACCGCGCCGCATCGCCGACGCATGCGTGATGCGGCGCGATGTGGGGCCCGATAATTTCCATGGCCTCCCAGGCGCCGCATCCCCGCCTCCCGACTCGCCTCGATCGGCGCCAACGATCCTGACTGCTAATCTCTTCGGACCGCTGCGCAACGGGGTGCGATAGGTGTGGGGGGTGGAAGGACGTGTACCTCTTGTTTCCACAGTGGGCCGCATGTCGACGAAGGATGTTGGGCGGCGGTCCGGCCGCCGAGATGCGCAAGATCCGATCCCCCAGAAGTTGCGAAGCCAGCGAAAGGGGAGGAGCAGTCTCAGTACCCACGCACTCCCCTGCGACGTGAAATAAACAAGACGGCCGTGGCCGTAGTTTTGGGCAAATGCGGGCCTCTGGGGGGAACCTTGCAAGGCCTGGAAACGCTCATTACACCACCGACACAACCCACGTGCCAATGTTGCTGTATTTCGGGTTCCTGCGATGGCGTGTCATGTTGCAACCTGCTTGGTTCGAGGTGGCCATGGGTATGTCCTGGGCGCTATCATTTACGCAGAAAACAGCACTCGCAATGCACAGAGCGGCGTAAATCTCTTCCCCCCTCTCCAACTATTCATTTATCCCCCCTGCTCCGCTGTAGCCAGATTCGCGTTCGCACTGCGTTGTTTTGGCTGGGGCGCGTCGCGACGCAGCCTTTCGACAAGAGTTCTCCGCGCTGCATGCGGTGCGAGGGAAACCATAAGGAACCCACTATTACACGGAAGGTCTCTGGGGCGCCCCTCGACAAAACGCCCCCGGACGGTGCTCGACAGACAAAACGCAAGCTGGGCGCGCGGTGAGAACGTATGTCAGGGCGTTCCTCCGCTTCAAATGATCAGTCGTGCCCGATGCTGAAAGGTCCGGCCAAACATGCGATTAACAATCTCCGCACGGGCGCGGCGTGTGCGCCTCGCGCGAGGCGGCAGCCCGGAAAAAGCGACCGCTACTGCGTGCCGAGGCAAGCGAGTGCCCGCTTGGTCTCGGAGCGGATCTGGGGGAGCCGACCTCTGTGCCCGCCCCGATCACACTGCCAATCCGCAAATCTGTGCGGAGAAGACCATGGAACGAATGGAGGTGGCCAGCAAAGCAGCTGGAGGCCACGCAGGCCCAGGGGCTTCCATGGGCGCGGTCTTCATCGGCACGGCCTTCGGGGGGAGGGGCATCCTGCGTAGGCTTGGCAAGCGATGCGGAAGGGTGCTTTGGTCGTCGCCAGCGCTGCCAGCCTCGTGCGCTCGACGAACCTTCGCCTGGGGGCGGCAATCGTCTCGCCCCGACTCTATCTCCCGCAAGTTATGGGGAGCTTCTCCGGGAAACCAGATCTAGGTAGGGTCCAACAAGTACCTCACCAGGCACCGCCTTCTGCTATCGTCGCTCCCTATGTCGTAAGGCAGCTCGCTGTGCCTGAGCGTGCGCATGCAAGCGGCGAGCGCCCCCCTGTACTGTCGACAGAGTGCCGCGGTGACCGAATGTCACTAAATTCGCCGCCCCCTGTGTCTCTAGTTTTGGTTCACTTCCAAAAGAACCCCCCCTGGGGCTCCGGCCCAGCCCGCCGGCCACCCAGACGGGACCGCAAAGTGCGCATGTCAGTGCAGTTCACGCCCAAGATGGCCCCAACTGGGCTTCAAGATGCCTCCAAGACAAGACGGCCAAGATGGCCTCCAAAGATGGTCCAAGATGGCCTCCAAGACGACCCAAGAGGGTTCAAGATGCCTTCACCAAGACGGCCCCAAAGGCCTCCCAAGAGGGCTCTAAGACGGCTCAAGAAGGCTCCAAGAGGTTCTCTAGGATGGCCCAACGAGGTCCAAATATTTGATTTTCGTACGATTTCTGAAGGATTGTCGTATTTGCTCCTTTTCGGCCTTCCGACGGCTGAAGAGGGCCCCAAGATCGCCCAAGAGGCCTCCAAAATGGCATCAGGACTGCCCAGGAAGCCCCCAAGACAGCCCCAAGAGGGCCCTAGGACGGCCCAAGAGACCTCTAAGACGCCCAAGGAAGTCCCCAAGACGGCCCTGGAGCAGTCCAAAAGTTGTTCCCAACAATCTTGTGGTGTTGGATCCTTGTTTTGAAGAGACAGCGCCGTGCGTCCCTTCCTCCTCCTCCTCCTCCTCCTCCTCCTCCTCCTCCTCCTCCTCCTCCTTCTCCTCCTGTTTTGAAGAGACAGCGCCGTGCGTCCCTTCCTCCTCCTCCTCCTCCTCCTCCTCCTCCTCCTCCTCCTCCTCCTCCTTCTCCTCCTCCCGCTGCCCCCCCTCCCTCTCCCCATCATCAGCATCACCGTCACGGCACACCCCTCACACAGTTCGTGACCCCATAGGGAGCTCCACCGAAAGCTCCAGTGGGTGCGGTTGCATGCGTCACCGCCGCACATTACGACGCACCCCTCAAACGTTTCGTGGCCCCATAGGGAGCTCCACCGAAAGCCCCAAGGGCGGCTGCATGCGCCACCGCCACACATCACGGCACACCCCTCACACGGTTCGTGACCCCACAAGGAGCTCCACCGAAGGCCCCAGTGGGTGCGATTGCATGCGTCGCCGCCACACATTACGACACATCCATCACACGATTCGTGGCCCCATAGGAAGCTCCACCGAAAGCCCCAAGAACGGCTGCATGCGCCACCGCCACACATTACGGCACACCCCTCACACGGTTCGTGACCCCACAAGGAGCTCCACCGAAGGCCCCAGTGGGTGCGTTCGCATGCGTCACCGCCATCCATTACGACACACCCTCCACACGGATCGTGACCCTTCACGCCATTACATCACACCCTTCACAAGGGGCTCCACCGAAGGCCCCAGTGGGTGCGATTGCATGCGTCGCCGCCACACATTACGACACATCCATCACACGATTCGTGGCCCCATAGGGAGTCCACCGAAGGCTCATCAGCATCACCGTCACGGCACACCCCTCGCACAGTTCGTGACCCCATAGGGAGCTCCACCGAAAGCTCCAATGGGTGCGGTTGCATGCGTCACCGCCACACATTACGGCACACCGCTCACACGGATCGTGGCCCCATAGAGAGCTCCACCGAAGGCCCCAATGCGGTTGCATGCGTCACCGCCACCCATTACGGCACACCCCTCACACGGTCCGCGGCCCCACAAGGAGCTCCACCGAAGGCCCAAGTGGGTGCGGTTACATGCGCCACCGCCACCCATTACGGCACACCCCTCACACGGTTCGTGGCCTTAGAAGGAGCTCCACCGAAGGCCCCAAGGGGTGCGAAAGCATGCGTCACCGCCACCCGTTACGGCAACCCCCTCACGAGTTTCGTGGCCCCATAGGGAGTTCGACCGAAGGCCCCAGTGGGTGGGGCTGCATGCGTCACCGCCACCCATTAAGGCACACCCCTCACACGGCTCGTTGCCCCACAAGGAGCTCCACCGAAGGCCCCAGTGGGTGCGGTTGCATGCGTCGCCGCCACCCATTACGACACATCCATCACACGATTCGTGGCCCCATAGGGAGCTCCACCGAAGGCCCCAAATGCGTTCGCATGCGTCACCGCCACCCATTACGGCACACCCCTCACACGGTTTGTTGCCCCATAGGGAGCTCCACCGAAGGCCCAAGTGGGTGCGACTGCATGCGCCACCGCCACCCATTACGGCACACCCCTCACACGCTTCGTGACCCCATAGGCAGCTCCACCGAAGGCCCCAGTGGGTGCGGCTGCATGCGTCACCACCACACATTGCGGCACACCCCTCGCACGCTTCGTGGCCCCATAGGCAGCTCCACCGAGGGCCCAAGTGGGTGCGGTTGCATGCGTCGCCGCATCCCATTACGGCACACCCCTCAAACGGATCGTGGCCCCATAGGGAGCCCCACCGAATGCCCCAGTGGGTGCGGTTGCATGTGTCACCGCCACCTATTACGACGCATCACACGGTTCGTTGCCCCACAAGGAGCTCCACCGAAGGCCCCAGTGGGTGCGGTTGCATGCGTCACCGCCACCCATTACGGCACACCCTTCACATGTTTCGTGGCCCCATAGGGAGCTCCACCGAAGGCCCCAGTGGGTGCGGTTGCACGCGTCACCGCCACCCATTGCAGCACACCCCTCACACGGTTCGTGGCCCCATAGGGAGCTCCACCGAAGGCCCCAGTGGGCGCGGTTGCATGCGTCACCGCAACCCATTGCGGCACACCCATCACACGGTTCGTGGCCCCATAGACAGCTCCACCGAAGGCCCCTGTGGGTGCGGCTGCATGCGTCATCGCCACCCATTGCGGCACACCCCTCACACGGTTCGTGACCCCACAAGGAGCTCCACCGAAGGCCCCAGTGGGTGCGGTTGCATGCGTCACCGCTATCCATTACGGCACACCCTTCACACGGTTCGTGGCCCCACAAGGAGCTCCACCGAAGGCCCCAGTGGGTGCGTTCGCATGCGTCACCGCCATCCATTACGACACACCCTTCACACGGATCGTGACCCACAAGGAGCTCCACCGAAGGCCCCAGTGGGTGCGTTCGCATGCGTCACCGCCATCCATTACGACACAACCCTCGGCCCCAGTGGGTGCGGTTGCATGCGTCACCGCCACCTATTGCGGCACACCTCTCACGGTTCGTGGCCACAGAGGGAGCTCCACCGAAGGCCCCAATGGGTGCGGTTGCATGCGCCACCGCCACCCATTACGGCACACCCCTAACACGGTTCGTGGCCCATAGGAAAGTCCCCCAAGTCCACGAAACAAAAAAAAAAAAAAAAAAAAAAAAAAAAAAAACAAAAATAAAAAAAAAAAAAAAAAAACAAAAAAAAAAAAAAAAAAAGAAAAAAAAAAAAATGAAAAAAAAACAAAAAAAAGAAACAAAAAAATTGTTAGAAGTAAAAAAAATAAACAAAAAAAAAAACAAAAAAAAAAAATAAAAAAAAAAAGAAAAAAAAAAAAAAAACAAAAAAAAAAAAAAAAAAAAAAAAAAAATAAAAAGCAAAAAAACAAAAAAGAAACGAAAAGAAAAATATAAAAAAAATCAAAAAAATAAAAAAGAAAAAAAAAAAACAAAAATAAAAAAAATAACAAAAACAAAATAAAAAAACTAATAAAAAAAAACAAGAAATAAAACAAAAAAATAAAATCAAAAAGACCCCCCCAGTGGGTGCGTTTGCATGCGCCACCGCCACCCATTACGGTACACCCTTCACACGGTTCGTGGCCCCACAGGGAGCTCCACCGAAGGCCCCAGTGGGTGCGGTCGCATGCGTCACCGCCACCCATTATGGCACACCCTTCACACGGTTCGTGGCCCCATAGGGAGCTCCACCGAAGGCCCCAGTGGGTGCGTTCGCATACGTCACTTACATGCATTACGGCACACCCCTCACACTTTTCGTGGCCCCGTAAGGAGCTCCACCGAAGAAGATGCTCACACTTGCGGTACCCACAACTGCATATGGTTGGGTCCTTCGCCAGGCTAATTTTTGGCTCTTCGCCTAGCGCTCCAAACTTGACATATAAGTTAAAGAAGGCAGCACTGACAGCGGCTTCCGACGGCGTCAGACGGGCCAGGAGCCCACCAAGACGGCCAACGAGGCCCCCGAGAAGCCCCCCAGAGGCCCCCAAGAGGCCCGAGGCCCCCAAGATGCATCTAAGAGGCTCCCGGGAAGCTCCCAGGAGGCCCCAAGAGTGTCCCCAAAAGCTCCCAAGATGCTCGCTCCTCCTCCTCCACTTCCTCCTCCGGCTCCTCCTGGTCTTCCCCGCCATCCTCCCCCAAGTGTTCCCAGAAGGTCTTCCACAGCGGTTGGGGGAACATATGGTCCGATAGCTTGGCAGAGCCCTCTTGCCACAACGCTCGGCCACATGGGCGATTCTAGAAGGAAGGGAGCGGCGGTGATTCGCCGTAGGCGTCGTCGATAGGGGACCGAACTCTACACACCGATGCGTTTTCCGACCCTGCACTGAAATGAACGCAAGAAAACGGATCCTGGTGTGTACGGGGCCCTATAGAACTTCCCGGGGAAACGGATCAACAAAGTATACGCCACACCACCCCGACGCCGTGGCCGACCCTCGAAAATCCCTGGGATTGAAAAACAGCCCGCCGCTGGTAATGAAGATGTTCCAATTTCCAGCTGAAGTCGGCATCGGTCATTCGCCCTCCTTCCTTCCCTTCTCCCCCCTCTTCTCCCCGCGTGCTCCTGCGAGCGACGGAACGCACGCGGGAGGAGCAGGGACGGAACGGGGGTAGTATGAAGAGGGAGGAGCGGTGGGAGGCGACAGGAGGGAGGGGAGAGGAGGGTGAGGAGGAAGGTGGATGAGGGAGAAGATGGGAGGAAACGGCAGGAGAAGGGTGAGGACGAGGAGGAGGAGGAGGAGGAGGAGGAGGAGGAGGAGGAGGGACGAGGAAGGGAGTATGAAGACGAGAAGCGGTGAGGAGGATAGCGGAGAGGAGGAAGGAGGAGGAGGATGAAGACTAGGAGGAGGAGAGACTAGAGGAGAGGTAATAAGAAGGAGGAGAAGAAGGAGGAGGAAGGCAGCGAGAGACGCCGTCGACCTCCGCCTCCTCCTCCTCCCCTCCTCCTCCTCCTCCTCCTCCTTCCTCCTCCCCCCTCTTCCCCTGCCTCCTGCCACTTCCCCCTTCACGTTGTCCCTCGGCAAGATGCCGCACCCCGCCCTCCTTCTCCATCCTCCCTCCTCCCTCCTCGCCTCCCTTTCCCTTCCTCCTCCATCTCCCCCTCCCCTCCCCTCCTCGTCTCCCTCCCCCTCTCCCGCATTCCCGCCTCGCTGTCCCTCCCGCCCTCCCCCCTCCCTCTCCCCTGCGTGCCCCCTTCCTCCGCTGCCTCGGGCGAGAGGATTTGGACGCCCGACGTGGGTACGGCAAAACAAAAAAAATCGCCGCCCCGAACATATGTTGTCCGAAACGGGCATCGGCGGCTGTTGGGAAGGCAGCCTGCTGTCTCGAACGGACAACGTCCGCGGCGACGCCGACCGCGAGCCCTGTTCAAATGATCAGGGAATGCTGTCGGTCTTTGTACCGAATCTGTCCGCACCCATGTCGATGGTCCCGAGGGGGGGCGGGGAGGGAGGGGGGAGTAGGAGGAGGAGGAGGAGGACAGGGAGCGACGAGGAGGAGGAGGATGAAGAATAATAAGGAGAATACTCGGCATTGCGCTGCATGTCTGATGTCTCGCGCAACATAGCACCTCTGGCCGAAGAGGAGGATGAGGGGGAACGACGAAGAGGAGAAGGAGGAGGAGGAAGAGGAGGAGGAGGACGACGATGAGGAGGACGAGGAGGGCGACGAGGAGGAGGAGGACGAGGGGAGCGACTAGAAGGAGAAGAAGGAGGAGCAGGAGGAGTAGGACGACGACGACGACGACGACGACGACGACGACGACGACTAGGAGGACCATGGGGGAGGGGGAGCGAGGAGGAGGAGCGAGGAGGATAACCACGAGAAGGAAGAGCGAGGAGGAGGAGGAGGAGCGAGGAGGAGGAGCGAG